AAAAAAAAAAAAAAAAAAAAAAGGAGGGACTGAGCCGGACAGGTGCAGCACCCTGTGTCCGCGAGACATCCTTCCACATCAGCGCCAGTATGGTTATTTTAAATTTTAAATATATATAAAATTCAAATCAAATGGAGCCGAACGCTGGCCGTGTTTTCCAAAAAACATGTTTGGGCTGCAAGGAGGTCTGAATGGGTAAAAGGTGGGGTAAAAAGGGGTATACGAAGGGTTCATAAACTTTACATGGGAACAGTTTTATCTTTTTTTTCATACCCCTTTCAGACCCCCTTTTAAACCCTTCATATTTTTTTTCATACCCCTTTCAGACCCCCTTTTAAACCCTTTGTAACCCCCTTTCAGACCCCCCTTTGAATGGGTAAAAAGGGGATTACACAGGATATAAAGGGGTGTTGTTTTATCTTGTTTTTTTCCCTTAATCCGGTAAGGAAATTTTTTTATTTTTATTTTTATTTTTTATTTTTATTTTTTTGGTAAGGAATGTTGTGGTAGCCCTCCGAGCAAAGCAGCCTCTACTTCAATTTTACAATCTTTATTATCTTAATTTTTCAATTATTTTCCCAGATTTATTTTCCGAAAATATTGAGAATTTCCCAAAAAAAAAACAAAATCTGGTTTTACGCACTTTTGAAAATTTCGAAAAAATCGGTTCCATGCACCCTGACAGACAGGTCATCCCAGGCTGGCTATCCCGTCCAGGCGCAGGTGTCCGGACCTGAAAGAGGGGACAGCCCAGGGCCCAAGTCCCACTAGCAGCGTTGAGCTACCTCAACGCAAATCTGGACGTGTTTGTGGAGACGTGCAGTTCAGGAAACTCGACACCATTTCTGCACATCTCCGCAAAAGCGTCCAGATTCAGGCGTTGAGGTAGATCAACGCTGCTAGTGGGACTTGGCCCCAGTGCCTGCTGGACTTTCCTCTTTTTTCAAGTTTTTTGTTTCCCGAAAAACACAGTTTCTTATTTCTTATGAAATAAAACTCCACTCGAGGCCTGCTGGACTTTCTGTCCCCATGATAAACTGTGTTTTCCCTGGAAAAAAAAAAAAAACACAATTTATTTAACTTTATTATGAAAAAAATATTTAAACACAATCTTTCAGGCAAAGAGGCCCATGTGCATGCAAGGGCTAAGAATAGCTACGGCTGAGCGGTACAGACACATACACCACCTGTCGATAAACAGATCACGGGTTCAATCAAACCCTGCTGGGTGTTTGTCCATTAAAAAAAAAAAAAAAAAAGACTTACATCATGCCATCATGGTAATCTAAATCACTCGCAGGGCTATGCTCGGTCATAGGGAGTTACCAACAAGGGGTAAGAATAGCTACGGTTGTTGTTGTATGTGATGGACTGTTGGGAGGCGGAAAAAGAGGGCTCTTCATCATCAAAGGGACGCTTCATTACCCATCGAAGTCAAAATTTAGTATTTACCTAGGCTACCAGAGTGGCCCGGGTCCACTTGCCCGCCCGGGTCAAAAAGAAATAAAAAAATAAAAAATAAAAAAACTATCTTTTAATTTAAATTTTTATTATAAATTTGGTAAAGAATTTCACTGACCCTGAGGCAAAAGTTGTTCAGTTTATTTTTCTGCATAACATAGTTTTTTTCCGGATTTTCTGGATTTTTTTATTTTTTTTTTTTGGCTGGGACCTTCCCTGGTCCTTGCACGGCCGGGCCGCCCGGGAAAATAGGGTGACCCGGGCGGCCCGGCTGGTAGCCTAGGTATTTACCCATTTAAGTCAAAATTTAACCATCTAAGTCAAAATTTACTCATCTAAGGGCACGCTCACACTAGGACTTTTTTACGCATTTTTGGACGGAATTGCGGCCAAATACATTAGGATATGGCCATGAATGCGGTCATATACGTTTGAGATACTGCAAGTGTGAGTACGCCCTAAGTCAAAATTTACCCATCTAAGTCAAAATTTACCCATTCTAAAGCACTAGTACCTTTCCCGCGTGGGAAAATAGGGAAAACTGCCAAAACTCCTGAATTTTCGGAGGTCGGGCCCGACGACGACTGCCATTGATTAAAAAAAAAAAAAAAAAAAAAAAAAAAAAAAAAAAAAATCTGATCGGCAGCCGTAGTTTCGTTTCGGCCTCTGAAAAGGTCGGACGCCTACCCGAGGCGTCCCGCGATTTTCCCAAGCGGCAAAGGTACTAGTGGTCTAAAGAAAGAAAAAGTACGCATCGTGAGAAAATTTACCCATGGGAAGAAAATTTACCCATGGGAAGAAAATTTACCCATCGAAAGAAAATGTAAGCGTTGGAAGAAATTTTACCCGTGTGAAGAAAAATTACCCATGGGAAGACAAAAAAGAATTAACCATGGGAAGAAAATTTAACCATGGGAAGAAAACATAACCATGGGAAGAAAAATTAACCATGGGAAGAAAAATTAAGCATCTAAGAGAGGAAGAGAGTGGCTTTCAAGGCCTCGCTCCACTACTCACCACATGCAGAAAAGACAAAAAAACAAATTGGCAGTGCATCTTCCCATGATCTAGTGGAAGATTCATTCTCATTTTGCACATTTGGTGAGTAGTGCAGCGAGGCCCTCAATCGGTGAGACAATTGATTCGAAAGGGAATGTGAGAGCGACTTACCTCGGCCCGCTCACATTACAACAGAAAAAAAAAAAAA